GAGTGAGAGAGAGGANAGGGGGGGAAGACCTGTGACCAAGCCGCCGGTGAGAGAAGAGAGGGAGGCGAAGAGACTGACGGCCTTGCCGCCTGTGAGAGAAGAGAGGGAGAGGGAGAGATCAGCGGCCTAATTGTCGGTGTGAGTAGAGAGAGAAAGAGAAACCGGCGGCCCAACCTCCTGTGGGAGTGAGAGAGGGAGAGGGAGAAAGAGAGAGAGAAGAGAGTGTCGCCGGTGGGAAGAGAACGAGAGAGAAAGAGAAAGTTAGAAAGGGAGACAGAGAGAGAGAGAGAGGAGAGAGAGAGAGAAGAGAGAAAGAGAGGGAGAGAGGGAGAGAGAGAGTGCACCTAAGTGGAAGAGACCGGTGACTCGAGATTGGCACCTAGGTTGATGAGCATGATGCCTTGGGACCGGTGCATTGAGTGAGGCATTGAGTGAGGTATAGGTTAGGGTAGGACTAGGGAAGTAGGAGTAGGCTGTATGGTCTAAGTGGGGTAAGGTGTATAGTTCAAGGGATTAGGGGCGTTTGGTTTAGGGGAGTAGGGTGTATGGTCTAGTGGAGTAGGGTGAATGGTCTTAAGGGGGGTAAGGTGTATGGTCTTGGGGTATTTCTCTCAAGGGAAAAATTCTCTCTCTTCTCTCTTGGGTTAAGAAACAAAGCTTTCTACTCAATTTTGGCTCAAATTGATTAAAAAATGCTCAACCCTTACAAATTACAGGTGATTTGCTTATATACAGGTACCCCCTAAACAAGGGTGTACACTAAAAAGCTAACCTAATTGCGAGAAAATACAATTAAAATAGATTAAATGTGATTTTGGGATTTTGAGAAAAATGACCAATTCTACCCCTAGGAAAATGTGAAAACAACAAACAGGTCCCCAAAAAGGGGCCTCTTCACATCCACATGGCTACGGGGACTCTCTTTTGATTCGGTGACGTTTCGGGCTATTTATTGTCGTGAAAACCTAGATCATCCTGAGAGAAACGTTTTGATATATATTTTGCATCTTGACATCCAGTTTTGCTTATGGTTTCAAATTCTTGCAAAACACACAAACTTGATTTCTTAAACATTAAATCTAGTTTGATCCGTCACGTCTTTGGTCTTCTTTTTAGTCGTCAATCGAAGAGGAAATCGTTGTGATTGTTTTGCAACAAAAATCACGCGATTTGGACTCCAAATTAATCACTTTACGATTTTAGAGGTCACTAGAAAATGGTTTTCCGGTGACCCAAAAATCATGCCTTCTTTAGAGCGTTGGCTCGGTGTTTTCCCATCCTTCACTTCGAGCAAGTCTTACCTCAAATCGAAGTCCTTTGAGTCACGGTCGCAATGGTTCCATTTTTAGGGTCATCCGATCTTGGAGCTTCGAGAAATGCCCATTGGAGTGAGGAGATGTCTTGTACAAAAAATTCTGCATAATGCACTTTTCGAGCAACTTTCTCTTTGGGATTTCTCGTCTCGGGAATAGTCTTGAGGCGTGCCATATGGCTCAACGTTCCTCTTAACGAGGGGAATAAATTTGAGCTCAATCCGCCATAGGATGATGGATATACAACTCTTGCAAGGATGCCCCGTTTTTGAAAACGCAGCTGCCATAATGGAGACCGGTTCTTGGTGGCTTCACATGAATGTTAAAGGCTTCGGCATTATGGGAATGTAGGACCTAGAAAGGTTCGAGTGAGCTAAAATTTTGCAGTTTAGCAGGTCTCGGCCTTTCGAATCCATCTGCGGTGGTCTGATGACCATCTGAGATCAATAACAGGGGGTTTTAGCTATGGTGCACCTTGTGCATGTTAGAGAACTGTACTCCAAACTGATTGTTCATCTGTTCCCTCATTTTTTTATCGGATCGTGGCGAAACTTGAGGGACACTCTTGGGACGTCATATGAGGCTTCTATACATATTTTGGGGCCAAGATGGCACCATTATCATTGCACTTCAAAATAAAGCTTATTCTTGTGTGGGCTTCCATAGTTCATAGGCATGTTTGGTACCTACGAGTCTTGGTCCGGCCGCCTTCTCTTTTATTCACACTGGGGAATGAAGTATGTCAAAAAATACATGACAAGGCTGTGACCTGGTTTCCCAATTCGAATTCTTAGCATATCGAGAATATAGACCCATAAGACAATCTAGTGAATAGTTGGGTTCAAGGGCATATGGAAAGGTATAAATTAAAAAAAAATCTCTTTTTCTTTAGTAATAGCTTGAATTTCTACCTACCATTGCCACAATATAATGTAGAAATAAATCTACTGCAATTTTTTATCTTTAACTCCTATTGCCAAATAAAACTTTATATCCAAAATTGAATTTAAACTTACAGTATGAATTCTAATTCAATTTGGATTCTAATCTAAATTGGCATCCTAATCCAAGTAGGAATACTAATTTAAATAGGACTCCTAATACAATTAGGACTTCTAAAACAAATATGAATCAAGAACTTAAAGTAAAACTGATAAACAAAACGTGGAAGACTTACTTAACTTTCGCCTAGGGTTACCCTTTTAGGACTTGGCACACCCCACACCCAATTACCCTATCGATGCACACTCTAATCCTTTTGTCCTACTGAATCCCCTCAACTGGGAAGCACCTCACGCAATACCCTCTAACAGTACTGGAGCTAAAAGCATGGGCAACTATTGGGTTTCTTTTCAATCCTTAAAACCATGGGTCAGGCCACATAGGGCACCTACCCTAAACTTAACAAAAGGTGGGGTGAGCGTGCCCCCCTAACTGGCTAGTCTTGGTGGTGCATGCGACTTTTATGACCCTGCCTTTTAGGTTGGGCGTACCTAGCGTAGAGAGAGAGAGAGTGAGAGAGAGGAGAGAGAGAACTGGAGTGGCATGTGGAGGAGAGATTGGAGAGTGAGAGATCTAAAAGGAAGGTGCTGAGAATAAGGGGAGGAACCCACCCCACCCACATTTCTTTATATTGGCTTCAAGGCCCTTAGGTATTTCATTCTCAATTAGGATTCAATTTGACTATATGATTCCCTGGTAATCCATTAGGTGAGAGAAAAAAGGAAACCGGAGCCATCTGTTCTTTAAATCCAGCATCATCATTAGGGATGAATCTAGGAGCCTTATCCCTTGAATCTTTGACCCATATCCACTTCTACTTAATCTAAGGGAAAGCCAATCAAAGCAAATCTTCTATTTTGATTAGAATTTCTTTTCTCTCACAAAAAACTTAGTAGAAATTCAATGTCCTATAGTCTTGGTCAATTTTCAAAGCCATAGTAAATATTTCAACGAAGTCTTTCATAGATTATTTTCTAAAGATTTCCCCAATAAGCGAGAATATTTCTTCAACAACTTCAAATTTTTTTGGAAATAAGTGTAGTGTCCCACCTGTGGATGTTGTGTGGCACATTTGTGCCCCCACTTGTGAGAGCTGGGCCTTAGGCCCCCTCAAGTCCTAATGTTGGTCCCACATTGCATTATAAATTTCGAAAATATCATAGTGTCCTTTAAAGAGTTTGAAGCCATGAAATAATTTTAAAAATTCAGAAAAATATTTTAAATCATCAAGGCACAACAAAGCTGGAAACAATATTTCTAATATTCTAAAAAAATCTATAATACTAAAAATAACTCTAGAAGTGGATTGATACTAATGATCTATTATATTTACATGCTCTTAAGGCTTTTAAAGGCCACAAACCCAACAAGCTGGCTAATAAATAGTGGAACCACGATTCTAGTATGGGTTACAGGTCCATCAAGAGCAAGTTGCATGCACATTTTACTGTATTACAAGGGGGACTCTCTCTATGCACGTGTACACATATCCCTCCATGTGGAGGGTTGTTGAGTATTTGGCCCTTGCTCACACAGACCCACAACTGTACACAAGAATTCCTGTCGCTTCCTGGCCTGAAAACATCATCCTTGGGCATTTTTGTGACCTCAACAAGGGATGAACCTCTAAAAAACCCTTAATGATAGTGCATGTACCCAAGGGTTCTAGATATGAACTGGCCATAGACCGTCCAACCGTCGGCTAATATACACTCCTACTGAAGTGAAAAATTCTTTAGATTTATTATTTTTACGTGCTTTCATGGGCTTTAAAGGCCACAAACCCCAACACGTGTCTGCCTTAGCCCTATTGACTCAATTGACTTAATATCAACTTGTCCACATTCTATAACAAAATGGTTTCCTAAGCAATCACCTATTGAATTATATTCACGAAATATTGGACTTAGGTAGCTGCTCTTATAATTTAAACACAGCGAAAAATTGAAAGGTGTGATTCTTGAGTATTTTTCCAAGTTCAGTTATATACTTGGTCAAGTACAAATAATGTAAACAATTCCTAGGAGGTCATTCCATCCTCTGTCTATAGCACAAATTTGTGTTTATGGGTGTGATGATATTCTATAATTTCTTTTTAGCTCATTCGGGAATCTTGGAATTACATGATGAAGTTTATGAAAAGTTTTGAACTTTTATGGTTTTTAACCAATGTATTTGATTCAAGGTTATTATCCTAGTACTGTTATTGCAATAAGGCTTACCAAATTAATTTTCTAAATCATGAAGTTGTAGCCCTTTTAGTTCGTACTCTTTTTGAAGTTCTTGAAATGCAAAGTTTTTTTGGAATAACTTGAAGGATAATGTCTATCTGTTTGAATTCTCATAAGAATTCTATTAAAATTTACTTTCTGATATCATGCTTTTGCAGAGGGAATTTGAGGGCATCGCCAGCAATTTTCGGAATCATCCTCACATCCGTATGATACTGAAGTACGATGAGATTCTTTCACATTCCATCTATGCCGCATCTGATATGTTCATTGTTCCATCCTTGTTTGAGCCATGTGGCCTTACACAGGTACTTTGTTTAACGTTTTATTGTGGAGAAAGTTGAACTCTCTTATTTTCTCTCAAACTAAAGTAGTTGAAAGTGTTTAAGAGTATAAAATGTGCTTCTAGAATAGTACAAACCTGAATGTCTCGCTTGTGTGTCTCTTGTTATGACTGTCATTAGAAATGGTATCTCCCTAATACTAAACTATTCGAACTTCTGCCTTCTGTTAGTACTTGTTTTTCACAAGTGAACGGGCAGAAAAGGGAAATGAATTTTATAATATGCATTAGTTGGTTTGAATCTTCACTTTTTTGTATTCCTCATGAGGACTTGAAGGCAGCTACCGGTCATTTGGACCTTCCTCAATTGCTCGACTTCCAGTCATTGTAGTTACTTCCAACAGTCTCTATACTTATTCAACATCAAATCTACTATTATATTTTGGTTGTCAGAATTTTATATGGTAGTACTTGATGTGTTCGTATATCTTGCACATCTTTAGCATTATCTTGGACCTTTCTCATCTGTTTTGTTATTCAGCACTATTGGTCGTCACCTGTTTTATAATGTATATGCATTTTTTTTTCACATGTATTCAGTTACCATAATTGTTGTTTTACCTCTCCATCATTAACATGATCCTGGAGCTCAGACTACCAGTTTCTTTCAATATATTCTTGTGAATTGCGATTGTACATCTTATTAATAGAAGGTTTACCTGAACATCATCAATTATTCCTGACCCAGTTGAGATCTGAACTGATTTCAGAAATCCTAAAGTACAAATTATGGGCTAATTGAGTTTTAATTCAACCAACTTGAAATTCTGATGAGATGAGACTGGCCACAGATTCCATTATTCTTCAACCATATCGAGATTTAGTGGGTTTGATGCTCATGAGCACCCTGTGGCAATATGTTTTCATGTCACTTCTTCATCTCAAACGACTAGTAACTAGTGTTTGTCATTGTAGCTAGGTCATTCCATTACTTTGCAAGGTAGACTATTGTAAGGGAAGATTACAGACTCCCTGATTGTTTGAAAATACATTCCTGTTAGGTACTTGCAAAGTAATTCTGTACATGTCTAGGTTCATTCTACTAAGATTAGGCCACACAGGCTAGTTTATTTGTACTTAAGTCATCGATGTAATTCAAGACCTGTCAATCACATAATGAATTATAGTCCATTAATAGCTTTCTTGCAAGTGAAATTTGCATGACTTATTTCTCTCTCTCTCTCTCTCTCCACTTCCCTCTCACAACCACACTGCAGTCTGGATATTGTATGTTACTAATTGTGCATGGTTTCACACCAATGAGATTTTTGAATTGTTATGCTGTGGTTCCCCAACTTTCATGTTTGGTATTACTGTGTATGCAACTTTCATGTTTGGTATTACTGGTTCATTCTGTCTGTGACGTGGTGGTCTGGGTGTTTTCTAAGACTTCCACTTTTGGTAGAATTTTTGTGTCTATCATTCAAAATCTACGCTTACAGGAGATGAAATCCAGTATGAGGGTGAAATTAGTCTTCTCTGAGTGCTGGCTGATTTAGATCTAGGCATTGTCATCCCTGTGTCTTGCTTGAAATGCAGGCTCGTTAGGCACAATAGTGAACTATGCACAAGCCATTTGGGTAACCTCATTGGAAGTGCTTCAAGGCGACGCACGCTCGTCAAGAATGCGTCTAAACCAGGTACTTTTAAAGACGAGGAAGTGTAGAGGGTGAAGAAGGGGGGGCAGGAGCTGTTTTTTGTAAGAAAAAAAACCCAAAGGAAATAGAGAAAGGCTGGGCACTTCAGCAAGCCTGGATGATGGATTGCGGTGATAGTGAAAACATGATTCCGACCAGCATGGAAGATACCCTAAAGGTCCAGGGTTAGCACAGAGCATCTTGAAGAGAAACCCATGCAGTGGATAGAGGCAAGTTTCACGCTCTGGCAACTCTGGGCAACGGAGAGGTGGAGCTCTTGCTAGCCAATGTAGATGCAACGAATGATCTCGCGAGGTAGGGACCTTGACAAGTGGATGCTAACGCGGCGAAGGAACTCTCGCCTAAGTTGTTGACATGAACTCATTTCAAATATGTAGCATAGTCCGTGAGAAATCTTATAGTAATACTATCAACATTAATTTAATTCCACTAAATCAATGTACCTTTATATAAGGAATACTAAGGATATGGTTTTTTAATTATTAAGGTTTCATACATTAATTTTTTTAAACAAAATGGCTTATATATCTTTTTATAATTCCTACACAATTGGGGATTTCTTGTATTTTATATTATTTAAAACTGTTTGACAGTAATGGCATTATTTATTTATTGATTTATTTATTTATTCTCATAATTTTCATGATTAAATTAGCAAAAAAGTTTATAGATTTCGGAATCACATTTAAGTCTTTCTTCTCTTAAAAATTTAATTTAAATATCATTTCAAGCATTTAATGCATCTCACTTCAAATCTTTCGTAAATATGTTCTCGATTTTTTAATTATTAAGATGTCATAGAAATAGTTTTTTAAACAAAATATCTTATCTATCTATTTTTATTTTCTACAATTGATTTTTTATTTTATTTAAATGTGTTTTAAAGTAGTGGTTATTTTCATTTAATTTTTTATTCTCTTAATTTTCATGTCAAAATTTTGGATGATACTACAAAATCTTTTACTGAATTTCGTGCTTACCATTATGTATTTCATTTCCTAAAAAATTAATTAAATATCATGTCAATCATTTAATGCATCTCACTTTAAATGTTCCTTAATTCAATTCCTCGATACTTTAATTATTAAAATTTCATAGATTATATGTTTGTAAACAACATGTCTTATTTATCTATTTATATTTTCTACAATTGATTTTTTTGTATTATTCAAATGTGTTTTAAAGTAGTGATATTTTTTATTTAATTTATCTTATTCTCTTAATTTTCATGTCAATAGTTTGGTTGACAGTACTTTTATTGGATTTCATACTTAACTTTGTCTTCCAATTATTACAAAATTCATTTTGTATCATTTCTAGCAGTTAATGCATGTCACTTCAAATCTTTCTAGAATCTATTGCTTGTTTTTTCTTAATTTGTAAAATTTTTCTAATATATATATTTAACTACAAATCTACNCTTTTGAGTTAAGTATAATAAATGTTATGTACGTTGGAGGTACAAGGCACAC